TAGAACTCTTTCTATATATCAGGTGCTGTTGCAAAACAAAGGACTTTTCCTTTTGGAGTTATTCCACAAAGGGGTCTGGCAGAGAGGCAGGAAGGTCATAAGGAGGTCATAAACAAATAAACAAATGATTAAATAATATGTTCTCATACCATGAAATCAATGCAGTAAAAAACATAGGACAGTGGTGAAATGGAGATTGCATGCAAGGGACAACTTTTGCCAGAATGATCAAGGAAGTTTTTTGTTTTTGTTTTTTTTTGAGGAAGCAACATTTAAACTGAGATGTAAGTGATAAGAAACCCCCATACAAAGATCTAGGCAGGGAGATTTCTAGGTGGAAGAAACAGCAAGTGCAGAGCCCTGAAAAGGGAATAACTTAGAGTGTTTTAGGGAGAGAAATAAAATCAATGTGGATAGTATGTGGAGAAAAGAAAAAGTGGTAGGAGATGAGGCCGAGGAGGTAGGCAAAGGGCACAACCAGGTCATGCCATGGTGAGTGAGGAATATGGATTTTATTCTGGGTGCCTTGAGCAGTCACTGGAGGGGTTTAAAGGAAGGGAAATAACTTATCCCTTCATTATTTAAGGGATTTTATTTCTGTTCTGAGGTCTTTCTGATGGCTGGGTAGAGAATGGAAGCCCAGCGATGAGTTAGACTGTGGCTTTTGCAGTGATCTAGGAGAGAGGTGACAGTCCCTTGGACTAGGACCAGAACAGTGGAGATGGTAAGAAGTGGCAGGATTCTGAATTTGTTTGGAGGCAGAGCCCTCAAGATTTGCTGATGGGATTGGATATTTGAGGAAAAGCAGGGCTCAAGATGACTCCGTGGTCTGGGGCCTAAGCTTCCTCATGAATGGTGGTGTTATTTTTCGAACCTGTAAAAGGTAGAAGAGGAACAGTTTTGCTAGGGAAATCAAGAGTTCTGTTTTGGCCAGTAAGGGATAAGATAGATGCCCTTTAGATAAACTAGATAGTATGTTTCCTCTGGTCCTAGAGAAGCTCAAAACGCTTTACTCCTGCATTTATTCACTCAACAAAAATGTATTGTCCGGCACTGTTCTAGGTGCTGGAGCCAACAGTGATCAAAGCAGATTGTTAACCTTAAAAATACAACTGCCAGTTAAGATGGGTTTATTTGGGAATGGCAGAGAATTACAATCTGGGTCAGGCAAGCCAAGGAAAAACCATAGGCAAGTCCAACAAACAAAAGAGGGGAACCTTACTTTATGGAGAAGAAGGAGGAAGTTGGGAGGGGTTGTTTTGAACAAGAGTCCAATGGAGAGAAGCAAGAGTTCAAGTGATGACAGTTTCTCATCCACTGAGTTACAAGGGTAGTTAATTTCTTGAAGAAAATGCAATGTACATCTTCTCATGTTGGGGCCTGTTGAGGATTCTTCTGTTGGGTCTATAATTGACAATTCTTTTCATAATTGACGTTGAGTCGTACCAACACCCCCTACCAGCCTCCCGTTCTAGCATCCCAAACCCACATTAGTGAGGTTTCCCTTTATTAATTTTCACAAGATTAAATTCCAGCCTTCACAGAGCTTACATTCTAGTGAGGGAGATAAACAAATAAATAAATACAATCCAGGTAGAGACAGGTATCATAGAGAAAAAACTTATTTAATTCACCCATCAACTCAGAAAGTACCTTCTTTTTACAAGCGACTAGGCTGGGTATGATTAGTCAGATTCTACCCTGAAAAGACACTAACATAAAATCTGTTACATAGACAACACAAAAAGCAGCCCACAAAAAGATACTTACAAAGCACTAAGTTCAAAGTAGAATGAGATCAGTTTCAAATGGCAGCATCTAATCAAGAAAAATTAATGAAAGGTGTGGTATTTAAGCTGAGCCTCAAAGGAAAGATAAAGTTTAGATATACAGTAATGGCAGGCAGCTGCCTACCACAAGGAAAACTAAAGGATAGGGATAGAAATATAGGCTAGGGCCAGATCAAAGAAAGCCATGAAAGCCAACCTACAAACGGAACTATTTAGGGGTGCCTGGGTGACTCAGTCAGTTAAGCGTTTGACTCTTGATTTCTGCCCAGGTCATGATCTCAGGGTGGTAAGATTGAGCCCCACATCTGGCTGCCTGCTCAGCAGGGAGTCTACTTGAGATTCTCTCCCTCTTTCTCTGCCCCTGCCCTCCCAAATTAAAGAAAAAAAAAAAAAGGAAGGAAGGAAGAAAACAAAAGATTTGGTTGGAAATGGAGGATAGAAAGAAGCATATTTAGTATTTAAGCCCACTTTGGGCAAAGTAAAATGCTGGATAAATAGAATTTTGAAGAACATCCTAAAGACCAGTTGTTTAACAACCATTTGGGAATATCAATTCCTTATGCCCCCGGGGAAACAAAACCCCTGTATTTTATTAGGTCATAATGGTCAAATAATTCTACAGAAGACAAGTATCTTCACTAGAAAGTTCTAACAATCTACCTTGACTGCATTTCTGAAAATTCAAAATTGACAGCTGATATTTGTGATTATTTTTCTGTCATAGGATAGGTTTGCTTTCAGTAGCTTTCAAAATTCTTTGATCCCAACCCACAGTAAGAAATACATTTTACATCACAACTCAGAATATATACATATGTATAAATCAAAATTAAAGTTTTATGGAATAGTACTTAGCATTACTATATATAGCATAGTGGTATCTTTTATTCTATTTTGTTCCACAGCACTCAAGAAAAAAAGCTCATAGTAATCCACTGAATTCATCTCTATCCGCCACTGTGTTCCATGCCGCAGTTTGAAAAACATTCTTCTAAAACATTAGCTTGGAAATTAAGTAAAATTGTAGCACTTCTAACCAACAAGCATTGGGCAGCACAGGCTCCCAGAAATTGGGAAAGGGCACTGTGTCCCACGCATTTTAGCCAAAGCATATCAGGCCTCAGTTGGAAGCCACTTGAGTTAACAGATGCACCTCAGATTGGCCTTTGAAAAACCGGCAAAAGAAAAGCAGATGTTTCAATACCTCCCCCTCTTTTTTTTTTTTTTTCACCATTTACTGTTCAGGTTCTAATACAGAGGTCAGAACAAGATTACAGTCCTTCCCTCAACACACACACACACACAAACACGCATACATACACCCTTAATTTTACAGGTTCTCTAAAGTATGTGTTGCAATACAAACCACCAAAAAGTCCAAAGGACAAGAGATCCAGCTGTGCGGGTGCAACTTGCCAACCAAAACCACCAACCCTGAGGGCTTCCTTAGCACATCTGACTGGGCAAGGGGACTCACCTGGATGAAACAGCGGTTTAAGACCTTCTGATTTTTATCAGTTGAAACCTGATATAAAGAAACTTGCAGGGAGTCCTCTCTAACCCACCGCTAAGATTGCTCTCCTGACAAGAGTTGATTGGTTTTATTAGGGAACGAATGTGGAAGAAAGGTAAGTTTTTTCAGCCCTGATTGTGTGTCAAATGCCAAACCTACCTTGGGGAAGTTCACAGTCTCCCTGGGGAGACCAGACTACAAACTGGAACAATTTTGAGTACAAGACAGCACAGGTTTAAAAAGCCCAGCACCACATGGTTTAGAGAACAATTCGTGCAAAAAGAGGGGGCCGGCCTGAGGCTCAGTGACTAAGCCTCGAGGGATGGTCAGGGGAAAGTTGGGCGCGAAAGCAAGAAAGAGTATTGTTTAGGTGGGACTGGTCTGACCAACACAAGGGTTGGGGACCCGAGGAGCGCAAAGGGGAAATTGGGTCCTCCCTTGTCAATCATGAACACTGGTGCAAGCCCAGGACACCCGCAGCCTCACGTGCCACGGAAATAGACAGCTGTACAGATTTCCTCAGGAAAACATTGAAAGCAAAAATTGTGATCACACCCAACCCTTTCCTCTATGCCCTGCCCAATCTCTCCCACGTCCCCAAAAGGAAGAGAGCAGTAGGTCAAACTCGTTTGTTTATTCATTCATTCAACAAGCATTTCTCCTAAGGGGCCTTTGTTTCCAGCAAGGGATGGACTGTTTCCTTTGCGCAGAGGATTCCGCAGCGAAGGGGCCCCCTAGTTGCCTGGCTCAGCAAGACCACATCACCACCGGAAAGGAAGGACCGGCTCGGGAGAAAGTCTCCCAGACCAGCATTCCAGTGGAGCCAGCGCCTTTGTAAAAGGCGAGGAGGGCGAGAAGAGCTCTCAAATTGGGTCGAGGGTGGTGGAATGAGTGAAACGTGTCTGCAAAAAGGAAAACTGGGCACTCCTACATCTCCTCAAAAGCGAGGGACCCCCCCCCCCCCAACCCGAGGCCCAAACCAGGATCTCCTTTCAAGGGGTCTGGCTTGCTGGTCAGGATGTAGCATTTCCCCTAGTAGGGTTTTCCACGTTCGTACAAAAAGGATAGACCGAAATGCAGCTGCCAACTGACCCCGCCAGGCTAGTTTTGAAGAGAGCAGGTCTAGTTGGAGAAGAAAGAACGAGAACGGAAACCGACCATGGAGACAACGTTGCTGCATTAGTCCAAGTTTGCGAGAGAAAAACCCCAAGTAAATCACAAAAATAACAGGCAGGAAAGGGTTGGGTGGGCGGGATGTGTCCCCAAAAATCCTTGAGGAGAAAGCAAAGACTGCTGGTAACTCGGACGGAAGGGATTGAAGAGAAAGCTCCGGAAAGACAACCGCATGTGTTGGGCACCTATCGAGGTTGAAATGAACTGGCCAAGGGAAGCATGGCGGGGGGGGGGGGGGGGGTCTTTCGGGGCTGACCAGGAGACCTGAGAGAGCGGGGTCTGGCTTTGCCCCAGGGTGGGGGACGCCAGCGGGCGGGGCCGGCCGCCCGAGTGGGCCGGGTGGGGGGGAGGAGGGGTGGGAGGGCAGGGGGCGGGGTCTGCGGGCCCGGGCGGGCCGGGGGCGGAGCCCAGGTAGTGTTGATACACAAAGAGAAGGCACCCGGGCGGCCGCGGCCCCGCCCCCTGACGCGTCCTCCTGAGCTGCCGCTAAAACCCGCTGCCCGGCAGACAGAACCATATCCGCGCGACACCGCCGTCCCGGAGCGTCTTCCCCACAGCAGCGCCCGCAGCCGGACCACGCGTTCCCGCACACTTGCACCTTTCCCTCGAGACGGCGGACGCCGGACGACTGGGGTGGCAACAACTTGCCATTTCTTTTTTTTTTTAATTAAAATTATTTCTCCTGCCTATTGTTGGTTTTGGTTTTTGTTTTACGATTTTTGTTAGCCGAGAAAAACCCACCGAAGGCGTTTGCGTGACGTTCCCGGATACAGGAGCGGAGACCACCGAGGTAACGCGCGCGGGGGCGTCTGTGCGAAGGACGCGGGGCCCCGGGCGGGAGTGGGGGAGGGGCGTCCGGGAGGGGCCGCGGCGGGAAGGTAGCTGCGGAGGTTGTTTCCTCCCGGCACTGGCGTGTCCGGTCGGCGGGACCCGCCTTCGGTTCCGGCCCCTACGGGGGTCGCCGCACTCTTCGGGCGGGGGAGGGGCGCGGCGCGGGGGCCGCGTACCCGCCGCGAGCGGAGCCGCATCTTCCCGTTAGGGGGAGGGGAACCAGCCCGGCCGCGCGGCTCCGCTGCGGCAAGTCTTGTGACTGATTTGCATTAATTAAAAAATTAGATCGAGGGGGCCTGGAATATGGGGGCAGCGGAGGAAGGTTCGGGCTTCTGGTATACAGAGGCCACGATTGGGGAAGACGGGCCAGGAACATTTGATAATCGGAGATCGATATTGCATCAGTTTCTTTTCCGGGCATAGGAGTGGCCGGCCGGGCGAAGCGCTCGCGAGCCAAATGCCTGTAGACTAGTGTGCTCGAGGGCACGGGCGTGCGCGTGTAAACAAACTCTCGGCGCCTCTGGTCGCCGAGGAACGGGCGTTCTCCCCTTTTCGGGAGAGGACCCATGTCAGCCCTTTCTGCCCCCTTGGAGTCCGCTCTCTGCCGCAGAGGCATTTCCCCATGTGGGGACTCCGGGCATGAAAAGACGGATTACGCGCATTGCCGTTGCAAATGCTAGAAACGGGGTGGGATGTGTGCCCTGCATGCCTGTGCATGACCGGAGAGGCTGGAGGAAAGCCGAAACAGAGCCCCCGTGCACCCCTCCCCTCAGACTTGGGATAATGGAGAGGGTGCAATACTAAAATCCTCTGGAGAGGGGCCTGGGGGTCCGGAGGGCGCGGGCCTCTGCGGGCGCATCGCCGCGGTGGGACCATCTTTGTTCTTCGCGGCTCCGCTGTCTGTACTTTTCCGCCCCTCGGCGCGCCCCCGCCCCTCGCGCTCAGCTGGTACTTTTCCACTCGCCTGGCCGGGGATGAATCAGCCGCGCTGCGCCTCCCGGCGGCGTCACGTGACCACGGCGGGCGGGCGCCGCAGTCTTGACGCGCCGCCTCTACCTTCGCAGGCAGCCGCGCGGGCCGGTGCACAGCCAAGGACAAAAGGAGCCCAGTGTTCCTCGCTGCACCCTCTATTCCTCCCGGTGCCAGCATGAAGAAAGCCGAAATGGGAAGGTTCAGTATTTCCCCGGATGAGGACAGCAGCAGCTACAGTTCCAACAGCGACTTCAACTACTCCTACCCCACCAAGCAAGCAGCTCTGAAAAGGTGGGAGAAGTTGTGTGCTTTTTTTTTTTTTTTCTTTCTTAAACGCCTTGCGGGGGTCAGGGGTTCTTTACCTAGGACTCTGCTTTGGTTGCGGTAATTTACCGTAGTATTTGGAGAGTGTGTAATCTCTGAAAGAGTATCCGATTGTCGCATTGACAGTATCTCTTGTGAAAGTCGACTCCTACTTAACACGCATTTCTGGGAGGGTGTGTGACAACTAAAGGCAGTTTGTGTCAGAGCATTCCGTTGTATGTTTCAAGACGACTGAGAATTCCTTTTTTTCCCTCACAGCCATTATGCAGATGTGGATCCTGAAAACCAGAACTTTTTACTTGAATCAAATTTGGGGAAGAAGAAGTATGAAACAGACTTTGTAAGTTGAAAATAGCAATTTGTGTGTCTGTGGCTTTATGGAGTAAAAGAATAGTTTTACTTTTAGATTTCAATCTAACTTGCCCAAAGCTGGTTTTCTCCATTTAATTATTGTTATATGTTTGGTTATCGTTTTCCCTCTATGTAGCATCCAGGTACTACTTCCTTTGGAATGTCAGTATTTAATCTGAGCAATGCGATTGTGGGCAGTGGAATCCTTGGGCTTTCTTATGCCATGGCTAATACTGGAATTGCTCTTTTTATGTAAGTATGTGTAAGTAGTGAGTCTGCCATGCAGGGCAGTTAATATGATAAAACATAAAACTTATGGCTCCAGAGACGGAATTTACAGTCGAAATAGTTGACTTAAAAATCATTTGTGTGAAATTTAAAATTAGAAATCCAAAAACCTCCTTATTCTAGTATCTAACTGCATGATATCAAGAAAGCCAATTAGAAATAGGACAACACTGAAAACTGATAATTAAACCAAAAGTATTTAAATCAATGGGAATAGTTAAAACGAAGTTGTAACAGGGGTTGGATGTTTAAAAAGAACTATTGATAAATCCAAGGTAGTTATTTGTTCTGGGAAAATAGGGAAGCAAAAAATATTAATAAGCACGGTACATCCAGGTCAGTTTATAAATTGACATAGTCTCCCCAAGAACCTTTGCATAGCGCAAACAGACTTTTTAGAATATATAGGGTGTGGTGGTATTTGCTTAACCTAGAACATGTTCTAAGAAAAGTGAGTCATAACTTTCTGGACACTGAAAAGACACCCATATGTTGGGGGGATTTTTTGGTTTTGTTCTAATATTTATTTCTTCCAGGTCTGTGTGATTGCCACATGCCATAGCAAAAAAATAAATATTTTAATAAGTACCTGCTTTTAAATGTTCTTTTCCCTAGTTGCCCAGTTAAAATGATTTATTCCTATGCTTTCTAGCATAAATGCCTAGAATAGGATTTTGGAGCAATAGAAGACTTTAGAGCAGTGGTTCTTCAACCACTGTGTGGGGTCACTGATTCTCAGATATAATAAGAAAAGTAGGAACCCTATTTCCAAGGGGAAAAAGGTACAAAATAAAAATACATGTGAATTTGAATATACATTTTCAATGATATTTGTATTGTAGCTGTTAATTTTAACTACCCAGGAGCCCCTGGTAAGGCAGTTTCTGTGGAAGATAGGGTGACTTATTGCGCAGATGAAGAAACCACACCTTACAGGGAGCAGGGAATTGTCCCGTTGTGACAGATGTGTTTTAGTTAGCTGACTGGTGCCATCTACTCAAGTGATTTTCTCCAGCAGAATAGAATGTTCATGAAAAGAAAAGCAGACCTTTGCAAAGTTCTGCTTTGTGGGTGAAGCAGAACTGAGCTGTACTGAAGTTAAGCCTGGCTTTGAACATTGGAAGCTAGGATTCCAGCAGTTTGCTTTATTAGCATGAAGCTTTCTGAGATCTTTTACTAAGATGAAGGAATTTACATAGGAAGGACCCTAGAGTTTTAAAGTTTTTACTGGGGAACTTGAATGGCCTCATTGTTAAATATTCCAAAATACTTCCTGACTCTTACTATAACAACTGGAGACCCTCTTTAAATGCTGCCAGTGTGGTTATAGTTAACATGAGATAAAATGGCACCTCTTTCATAAGTGACAGCAAAATTCTGATGTTACCCTTGCACCTTTGAAATTATACTTCAATAAGGTCTATGTGTTCGATTAACCCTTTGAATAAATGGTTAAATAACATCAAAAGTGCAGAAGGGAGTTTTAATCCCATTGGTATTTTACAAGGTATATTTAGAGGATGTAGAGATAAATGGGCCAGAAGCCATGTGGCTGTCACAGTGCGGTTAAACAGCTCTAGCTAACCATACTAGGCAGACTCAGCCTTGAGCTTGAAAGTGACCTCAAAGGTTATGAAGTCCCTTCACCCCTCATTATAATCTCAGTGTAAGAAAGGAGGACTGAATTTGTCAGCATACTTTGAAGACTGTTTTTGATTAAAGTAACAGCTTTGTTCAGTTAGAGGTAAGGCCAATGGTGTCATTTTTCCACCTTTGATTAGGCCCCATAAAGGTTTTGGCGTTAGAATGGCAGTTCAATGCCACCGCCTATATTTTAACTAACAGAGCTCAGTTCCTTTGCCAGACCTTCTGTGGTACCGGATTCAGTTTTCCTGTACAGAATCAAAAAAAGTAACCATCTTGTTTGCAGATTCTTCTATGGGTTTCCCTGATATTTTTCTTGTTGTTTTTAATAGAAAGAAATCCATATTTTCTTTGGCTTGCCCAGGAGGGGAGGAAAGGAAATCTGAAATGAGAGAGAATTTGTATCCTTAAAGGAAAACTAAGTGACATTAGGGAACCTCTAGTTCCCTCCCTATCTATGGAGCGAAGAGCTGCTCCAGTCCGACTGATGGGTTCCTTGTTCTAGCACAGGCATTGTTTAACTTCGTCATGACCCTGGGCCTGTATTCCACACCATGGCGTGCAGTATAGTCTGTTGTCTCAGTGATTACTTCTCTGACTTGTGCCCAATTGTTTGTTAAGCTGTGCCTGATGCTTCCAATGTTCGTATCACTCTCCCTTCGTAGTCCCATTTCTCTTATTTATGTAGTCCAAGCGATCTCAAGGTCTTTCCTGAACCTGTCTCAGTTGGATTTCACAAGTGCCTTGTGCGCTGGATTTTTACTGGCAGACATTACCATCATTTTACAGATAAAAGGAACTATTAAAATGCAGAGAAGTGGCAAGAACATATGGTGCCAGAACCAAATTATAAGTCTCATAACTCCACCACCTTAAAGTTAAGCTTTCCTGGGTCTCCTGACACATTGGATGCAGCGGGTAAACCCCAGCTCTTAACCAGTACCGTAGAACTAACACCTGAGACATGATGCGAGTTCTTAGTACCAGGCTGAGAGAAGATGTTGACACTCTAGCCAGGATGGTAAACACCAGTTCTTAGGGGCTTTCTGTCTAGCACAGAAATATCAGGACACGTTCCATATTTAATGTTTTGATAATGAGCAAAAGAATGGTCTTTAAATATAGCTATGCTTATTTATAACCCTGTGCCTTTTCCTTCTCTCATCAGAATTCTCTTGACATTTGTGTCAATATTTTCCCTGTATTCTGTTCATCTCCTTCTGAAAACTGCCAATGAAGGAGGTATGGTAGCATTCTTGATATTTCTAAAACAATTAGGCCTGTCAGGATTTTCTTCCTTCCCTCATGCTTCTGTGTTCTTCATATTTTAGGGTCTTTATTATATGAACAGTTGGGACATAAAGCATTTGGATTAGTTGGAAAGCTTGCAGCCTCTGGATCAATTACAATGCAGAACATTGGAGGTAAGAATTTTTTTAAAGGTGATTTGGGTACACTTTTTGCTCTTTATGTAGCACAGAGTGGTGACACGTTACTTTTGGTGTCACATGCCACATTTTGCACTTGTAATGGTATAATTTTGTTTTCCTCCAGCTATGTCAAGCTACCTCTTCATAGTGAAATATGAGTTACCTTTGGTGATCCAGTCATTAATGAACATTGAAGATACAACTGGGTAGGTGCTAAGTAAGGTTACTCATAAGAAAAATTATAGTCTAAAGTGGTTAGATACATTTTATCAAAGTTGATACAAGATAATTATCAATAAATTATTTTTTGTAAATGCTCCTGTTGAAATTGACCAAGAAGTCCCTCATAGACTGATTTGAAGTCTTAAGAATGAAAGACCAAAGATCGAAGCTCGTGCTGTAATTCTGGATAATAATTTCTCTAACCTGTGTGTGAAAGCAGGTTTTCTAGAGCTTAACTTTCTCTTGATATTTATTCTCGAAGAAATTGTAGCTGAGTAACACAAAGTCTAACCTAAGTCAGGTTGAAGCTTTGAATTACATTTCAAATCAATCCTGATTTTTTTTATAAATTTGAAACTCTTAAAACTTAATCTGTTTAAATGCATAAGACCAGAAAATGTATGGCCATGTTGTAGAAACCTTATCCTTGTAGCACAGTTCTTCCTCCCAGTGGACTAACAGGTTTTTATCTAAAGTAAACACGGGGAAGGGCAATTTACTTCCCCACTTACTTGCAGCTCATTATCTCAAAATAGAGAAGTGTGGTTATCTCTTTGGCTTTAGAAATTTAATAAGCTGATCTTTAAACATTAGTTTTCTGTGGGGTCTCTGTTGCTGAAGTAAGTAAGCGGAGTGGAATTCACAGGACAATTAATTTGAAAATAGTGATTTAAAAGAGGGTATGGTTGATTACCTGGAAAGGAAAAGACATTGCTAGAACTCCTAGAGGAGACATGGGTAATATTTTCTTTTAAGTTCAGAAGGGACCTTTTTGACTATTTTTGGAGCCAAGGTGGGTCAAGGTGTCACAACATACTCTTGACAACCTGGAATAAATTCTGGTTTTGGGGGATTGGGTTTTGTTGTTTGTCTTTGCCTATGTGTTTTACCTAAGTATGAAAAAATTTCCTTGTTTGAGTTTTTAATAATTACATTTGCTAATGTCTGAAAGAAATTTGTTTTAAATTTGCTTGTTTCTAGCATTAAAAATTGGCAAGCTAAAGCTATGACCGAGTTGGTGTACAATTCTCCTAAAAATGCTTCAAGATAAGATTACTGGCTTAACAACGCTGCTTTGTTCCCTACATTAGTATCAAGCCTTTAAGAAGCATTTTATGTTATGAATCAGCTGGCAGCCTTCCCAGAGCAAACAGTGGGACAAAAGTTACACTGTTCATACCCCATCTCTAACCTGTGTGAATATTCAGCTAGCACAGAGTTAGACATTTATTCCTGTCTGTAGGCTTTTTGTGAATAAGCAGTGCATTTTCCAGACCTGCCTTTTTGTGTGTTTATTTTTATAGTATCTCTATGAAATGAGTCCAGTAAGATGTGTGTAGTATTCTGGGGATTTTCATGATTGGTTTGACCTTGTGTTTCTTTTCTTTAATTCAGATTGTGGTATCTGAACGGTGACTATTTGGTTTTGCTTGTGTCGCTGGTGCTCATTCTTCCTTTGTCACTGCTGAGAAATTTAGGTGAGTAAACCCATCTCTAAAGAGAACTGAAATGAGCCTCTTACTAGCTAGTTGGCTTTCTCTTAGTAGAAATTGAAAGCTTTTTAAAAGGCCCCAAAAACATAACTTTGGGAGCGGCTGTGTATACACCTTTCAAAAGGCCTTTCAAAATCCTAGCAGGTGGCTACCAGGAGAGGCCAGAATATTTTGTTGACATTTGATAGTATTTGCACTTTATAAATAATAATACAAAATGAAAGTGTCTTTAGTTTAGTTATTAGCAAATATTTTAAAGTAATTCTATACCTCAGTATATAAGAATTAGAAATTGAATATTGTATTCATACTAGTCTTTCAGGCAGAATCAAGTTACTGCCTGAAAGTTGAGAAAATATATTTGCCTGAAATTTGTTACATTAAAGTAATAATTTCTGCCTCCCTTACAGGATATTTGGGATATACCAGTGGCCTTTCCTTATTGTGTATGATGTTCTTCCTGATCGTGGTAGGTAAAACTCTTCTTTAAAGCTAGAGATTTGTTTATGAGCCCAGTCATGTTACTTAGTTTAACAAATGCAAAATAATATGTTTTCAGGTGATTTGCAAGAAATTTCAGATTCCTTGCCCTGTGGAAGTTGGTTTGATAATTAATGAGACGCTAAACAGCACCTTAACACGGCCAACGGCTTTTGCACCTGAGATGGTATTTAATATGACTGACGATGATTCTTGCAGACCACATTATTTCATCTTCAACTCACAGGTAACTAAATACAATTTTTATTTTCTTAAGATTTTAGGGAAGAAGAGAGGGATACTATCCACAGGACATTTAAAAATAACTCCCAAGGTAAAGGGAGGAGGGGTAATAGATAATCTTCAGAAAACATGAATTATTGAAGACTGAGAAGAAAGCATTAGTTTATATCTTAAAATGGATGGAGAACGGAAATGAAATAATTCTATGATGTTAATAATTGACACAATCTGACGTTAGCATGTTGATCACACTTAGTGAACAGATTAAAAGAAGGGAATCTAATTATGCAAGGGAAACTTTTAGGGTTTGATTCTAAAATTGGTTACTATAAAATACAAAGTGCAGAACTGTGATGACCCAAGTGTGTTACATGGGATTTTAAGTAAATTTTTACATTTTTTGCAGACTGTCTACGCTGTGCCAATTTTGACCTTTTCATTTGTCTGTCATCCTGCTATCCTTCCCATTTACGAAGAACTCAAAGGGTGAGTGCTTTACCTATTTTTATATAAATTTATTGGGAAAGTTAGAAAAATATTAGATTTTGCTATAAGTACTGCTCAAGTATATATTTGTATTTTTCTTTGAATTTACGTAGTCGCAGCCGTAGAAGAATGATGAATGTGTCCAAGATTTCATTTTTCGCCATGTTTCTCATGTACCTGCTTGCTGCCCTTTTTGGATACCTGACATTTTACGGTAAATAATGTCTAGATTTCAGGAAAAAACACTTCGTGAAATAAAATTGATACTTGCACGTGTATAATCGATCACTTAAATTCGATCTGTTTCGGTGTATTTCCTACTTGGGATGAGAAACTGAATTGAGAGCTTAGAATTTCCTGTAGTCTCTTTATTAATCAGTAATTTCTCAAGCCCAAGTTCATATAATTAGTCACTTGGTGGCATTTTTATATGACGTGCTTGCATCTGAGTTCATGCTGTCTATCTCCTCTTCCAGTCACCTTCAAATTCTACAACACAAACTGTAAGCCAGACCATGGGATTTAGCTGTTTAGCTCCTGTTGTTTTTGATGGGGGTCATGTGGCTAAATCTCTACTTGGTATTTAGGAAAATTTTCCTTCAATGTTATTTTAATTGCATTAACCCTAATTCCAAATTAATCTGATTAGCCTCTTAGTTTATAGTCGTTTTGTGAGTAGCTAATAACTTTGGTGCAAATTTGCTGTAAGTTAGATTTCCCACCTAATCTCTAGAGGAAACTGCTCACTTGAAGCTTTTTTTTCCTTTATCTTTCCCCATAGAACACGTTGAGTCAGAGTTGCTTCATACCTACTCTACCATCATGGGAAGTGATATTCTTCTTCTCGTTGTTCGTTTGGCCGTGCTGGTGGCTGTCACCCTGACGGTACCAGTAGTCATCTTCCCGGTAAGTAATCACCCGCCCTCCTTCCGCTCGCCAGGAATGAGTTTTTAAACATGTGAAGACTTGTGAGATTTTCCTCTTCTGTGAGAAGGGAAACACTACTAGAGCAATACCAAGTTGATGGTGGTTTGAAGGGATTTCTTTATTTTCTAGATTTTCAAAACATCCTGGGTAATTTTTTCCCATAATTGAAGACCTAAAATGATCTTTCACTGTTCAGATATTAAGGAAATAGCAGTAGAGGAAGGGGCACAGTTTACGTATTTAGAAAGTTTCTTTCTTTCTTTTTTTTTTTTTTTAAGATACATTCCCTATTATTTGGGAATTTTTTTCCCCCCATTAATGTGAAGCTGGAGTTTTCATTTCTCTGTCTGTTTGTTCTTGCAGATCCGGAGTTCTGTAACTCACCTGTTGTGTGCGGCAAAAGATTTCAGTTGGTGGCGTCATAGTCTCATTACGGTGTCTATCTTGGCATTTACCAATTTGCTTGTCATCTTCGTCCCAACAATTAGAGATATCTTTGGTTTCATTGGTAAGTTTTAGAAAGTGTCAGAGTTCTTTCCCGTATCAGCGATTTTGAAGTTTAAAAAAAGGAATGACACGTGATCCATTGAATTCTCAAGAAGTGGTCTGTGTTCTTTTCCAGGGGCGTCTGCAGCTGCTATGTTGATTTTTATTCTGCCATCTGCCTTCTATATCAAGTTAGTGAAGAAAGAACCTATGAAATCTGTACAAAAGATTGGGGTGAGTGAGCTATTCTGACTTACAGAAACAGTAGTGATCTTCTAGTTACTAGAATTTCCTCACCTGATTTTAGTCCCTTAGCTCTCTTCTTCTAAGTTTCTAGTGAATATTTCTTCAATGGCATACTTCACAGGTGGAAGGTTGGGGCAGGGAAGGTGAAAGTTTGCCTTCGAATAGAGGCCTAAGTAAATTGCAAGAAAGCGGTTGAGATATTTTAGAGCTAGGAATAGAGATAAAGAGCGCATGTGCAGTGTGGAGATACTGACTCCGCTTTCAGCATTAGTCGAACTGGTATTTGTCGGACTGCCCACTTCAACACACACTTAACTGGGCCTTCGAACTAACTGTCTTCAAAGCAAAGCACAGGGGGGTTGTCACTATACTTTAAAGTAATAAAATGTATTTTAAAGTGTAATAAAAAGTGATTTCACAAAGAATATGGTATGTTAATTACAGAAGATCCTGGTGGTGAGGTTATTTAGGAAAAAGACTGCCTCTGAGTCCTTCCACTGCTACAATTCTAGTCTGATTAAAGCACCAAAATTGTTTATAAACAAACAGCTGTCATCTTGTTTTATTCAAAATACATAGTGGTAGTAATTTGAAGGGGGTAGAATTAGGAGTAAACTTACTCATGTCTCTTTGAAAAACCTCTGGCTTTGACTCAGGCTGCATTTTAGGATGACTTTGATTTTGTGACTTAAATTTTTGAAATTTTGAAATTTTAGGAAATGCAAAAAACAAAAAACCCCCCAAAAATCTAGTCCTGTTCTATTTTATTACATGAAGTAGTTTATTCAGCAAAGAAAAATATTTACCTTTCCGTTTGAGACAAAGGAATGAAAAAGCAAAATTTTGGAAGGTTTCAAAAACTGAGTTACTTTGTAGTATAGGTGAGCCCTTGGTAACTTCAGACAGTTTTAAATCTCTTTAGCAAGGTAAAACTGTAGCTCTGTGAAGCACTCAACATCATTTTAGTGATTACAAGCCCATTTTTAAAAGTAGAAAGGAATGCTTTTTTGTTGGCTCATCATTTTCTCTTTGTGCTCATTGCAGGCTCTGTTCTTCCTGATCAGTGGCATAGTGGTGATGACCGGAAGCATGGCCTTGATTGTTTTGGATTGGGTACACAATGCCCATGGAGATGGCCATTAACTGGCGCCGCTAAAACTCCACTAGTCCACTTGATGCCAGTGTTGAGTCAACTCTCAACTTCCTATGAAATTTCACCTGACGTTTTCAGTTTCACTTCCTTTTGAAGTGCAGATTCCTCGCTGGTTCTTCTGAGTGCAGAATAAGTGAACGTTTTTTTTTTCTTTTTAAAGAGACTATTCTGTATGATAGAAATGGATATTAACAACCAAACCACGAGTCTCGGGTTAATGGAAGTGACAATTTTATTCCATTCCAGAGAATGGACGAACTCTTAACTTTTATCAAGCCACATGTTTGGCTGTGTCATTGTTTAACTTGGATATTTTATGATTTTACTTGAATGTGCCTAATGGAACCATTCGATGTGAGAAACAATTCTTATTAATTTACAGCAAAGTATTGAAATAACCATTGAGAAAAACACTATTATTTTTTTGTACCAAAAATATTTTAAGACCTCAGAAGCACTATTTTACTTTAAAAAAATGGCTTTCTTTCTAACTTTATCCAAAAACAATTGTGAACAAATTCCATAAGAAAAAATCATTGGTATTTAAAAACAAATACTAGTATTGTGAAATGATTTGCCTTTTTGTAGGCATAATAAGCCAAATACTTTTTTTAACCCAAAAAAGTTTTTAGAGAAAATGATATAACAAAAAATTGTACCATGAATAGGAGCATAGTTTTTTCCATTCAGATTTCACCATTAAAGAGTAACTGGTTGATTATTGCTATACCAAATCAGATGAACTCATTCATCACTTTTCTTCTCTGGCCCCAAATAATTTGCTTCATTCAGACTGAAATATTTATGGCTTCAGTCTATTAGAATGGAAGATACAAAGCAGATATTTCTGTGGGAAGTAAAATAACTAATTTTGAGGTACCAAATAGTGCAATTGGGTAAAACAGGGTTTATTCAGTTGCATCTGTCTCCAGAGATGTATTGACAGCTCTGGGTTTTTTGGGCCAGCCCTTTTTTTTGACATTGCTTCCAGCAGTGGAAAGTGGGCATTTGATGGCTATAGGCCAAAACTGTTCAATCCAGAGAGTACAACTTTTCAAAATGCTCATCTCCTCCTGGAAGTGTGAATTACTTGATAACGTATGGCTTAGTTGTGTTCATGTTTTGTCTACAGTAGAGGCCTAATTCACAGGTTTCACCGATGTTTGGTATAAGTTCTCTTCAAATAGGCCACTGGGTTTCTCATGCAGTAAGTTTTTAAAACTAATTTGCACTGGATTGTCATCTCATTCTTGTACAACACAGAATTGTTTACATCCAACAAATGGTTAGCTAGGGAAAAACAGTGCAACCTGAGTGTAAGTAGTTGGTCCAACTGCATGTTCACCCTTCCATTTCAATGCCAGTTAGAAGTGAAAAAATTACTTGGCTTTAAGAGCACATTTATTGTACGTTATGGTGTATGGTGAATATATTAAATAATGTGGTACTTTGCTCTTCAGGCATAATGTCTAAAATCTAATATACATAATTCCATTAGTGGTTGAGGGAAGCAAATAATGGAATCAATTGGTCCTCTGGCTCTAAGGTTTCCTCTTAAACTAAGCATTTTTAGTTTTAGGCAGGGGCTAGAAACATGGCAGACATGTTTTTTGTTACACATTCTTGTATTATATGTGACTCAAGTACAGACAGGATATGTCTGTGAAGACCCTTGTGGAACTGGAAGACGTCTTGTAGTGCTACATTGGGTGAAACCAACGGTCCGTTTGTGTTTCTACAAAAATAACGTGATTGGGGACCATCCAGAAAGGCAGTGAAAAGATGGATTCTACAGCACTGCTTTTATTTAATTGGGCTTTGGCACTCCCTTCAAATCCAGAACCTCCCCTCTAGTTCAGACCAAGAATTGGCACTTCTGCTTGAGTTCCTGGAAGAATTGCTGATTTTGTATCTGAGACCTGCCAGGGAATACCAAGTAGAGTTGTTTTCTACAGTTTACATCCTTTCATGTGGGAGAAGCTACCGTGGCAACCAGGAAGGAATGGAAAAAAGAATTTTCTTCTCACAGCAAATTGACGTGGGGAGGCTCCTTCAATCCTCTTTTGGCTGTTTGAGGTTCAAAACGAACTGCCTAGGGTAAACTCCATTGCATGATTTTCTTGGAGCTATCTTGTCCGCCTTGAGGTTCCCAAACAGTGAATTCCCATCAATGAGCAGTCTTCAGTATTAAAACCACTGTCCTGACACCTCATTTTGCATTACTGTCTTCCATGGATGTTTCAGTTATAACTGTAATGTTATTTATAGAACAGCATTAATCCATTAAAGCTAACCTATTTTTCAATATTTATGATAATCTGTACATACATTGTCTGTCCATATGTATTTGTAATATATAATGTATATAATGTCAGGTTTGGGTCTTGGGTTCAAGTGTATATACTCCTGTAAGTTTCCTAACTGCATTTTGATGAATTCACATGTATCTATAAGAATTGTCCCAAAAGTACCTGTACAGAGATTTCAATATAAACAAATTGACTAATTATGTAAACACTAAAAATTTAAAATATTGTTTAAATTGTATTTGCAATAAACAGACTGGGTGAACATCACATTTTTTTCATGAAAACTTGGTGCAAATTCAGATCTCTCATTTAAATTTTAAATAAGGTCTAATTTTCAAAATGCAGTAGTTTCAAAATGTGATCTAGTGTAATGGAATCAAATGTGATCTAGTGTAATGAAAGCTCTTTGAGAACCTGGGTGTGTGAGCTTTCTGTATATAGTGTAAATACCCCCACTGTATTGTTAGAGGCCTACCGTTCCACTAGGACTTGCTGGCAAAGAGTGCTACACCGTTTCAATGAAACAATGTATGTTTGTTTTAACTGAACTAAAATAAATACATGCTTAATCCTGAGTAGCTGTGTTTTCTTTGAGGTAACGGGATAAGCCCTGTCTGATGCATTATACCATCAGAGCTTAGTGGGTCTCCTGTAATGGTAACGATTGTAATGAAGAGCATGGTCAGAAAAAAGTTTTTCCGTTCCTAAAGTTTACTAAGTGTGAAGAATAAGAAAAATGCTAAAAGGCACCTCAAGGACCCAGGGTTGGGCCTGCTGTTGGTGGGCCAGGAGTGCGTCAGGATCATCTGGGAGCTCTCTGGAGAATGTGACTATAGTCTGATCCCACAGATGTGGAAGGCAGCCCACAGTTTTATGCCCCCTCCACCCCACCCAGAATCCTACCCAGGCGATGTGGGGGCACACAGGTGAAAGTAAGGGGCACTGAAAAATGGTCTAGGAAGAAGTCCGAGGAATTCAGCTCAGGTGCACCAGTCCAGAGAACATGAGGAAGCACTGTGGCTACTGAGCAATCCGTAGACAAGCTGAGGTTTATCTGACCGACCCTGGATATGACTAGCTATGAGGGGGCTTGCTAAGACACACGGGGTAGTTCAGGTATGGCCTACCGAGAGCCTTGGAAGCTTAGGGCAGGTACAGTGAAATATCCAGGGCTGAAACAAAAAGGAAGATAGAACAGCAGGTGTGCTTGGGAGTGGTTGCAAAGGCAAGCGAAATCTGCAAGAGAATAATCCAGTCGCAATGATCAAGCGGAAAGGAGTTATTTGTGGTTAAAAAGCCCAGCAGAGGGGCTCCTGGGTGGCTCAGTCGTTAAGCGTCTGCCTTCGGCTCAGGTCAGGATCCTAGCGTCCTGGGATCGAGCCCCGCATCGGGCTCCCTGCTCGGCGGGAAGCCTGCTTCTCCCTCTCTCTCTCCGCCTACTTGTTTTCCCTCTCTCACTGTCTCTCTCTCTGTCAAATAAATAAAATCTTTCACTGACAACTTCTCTCTCCGCCTACTTGTTTTCCCTCTCTCACTGTCTCTCTCTCTGTCAAATAAATAAAATCTTTCACTGACAACTTCTCTAAGCCTTTTGTTCTTCAATTCAGGTGTGTCACAAATTCTGCTGGACTTTTTTTTTTTTTAACTCTTCTGAGAAGCTTTAATTGAATGCCTACTGCATACAATTAACATGCCCAAGGGAAAGAGGGTGGGGTTATGTGTCAGACTCCAGTTTTAACAGAATCCATACACTTTGAATTGGCTACTCTAAAGAAACGATATTGAAATGAAGCAGAATGCCAATTAATCTGAAATAAATATATTTGGTGGATAGGTCTACTCGAGGGATGAAAATACAGTTCTATAACCAGGGAAATATCAAAAGATATTTCCAGCAAACCTGAGGAATATTCTAGGAATGTTTCTAACTAAAGAACCAGAGTAGTCTGTCCTGACTTGGAAATCCTCTTTCCTGGACAATTGGCTTAGTTAAGTTTCTGGTAACAGTAAAGAAAATCCACTTAGCTTAAGCAAAAATGGTGGCAGAGGAAAAGAGAACTTAACAGGAGATCAGATACCTCAGATAATTAAAAGATAAACAGGCTTCCCAAAGATCAAATGCTGGATTTGTCCAAGAGACCTTAAGGATAGAAACCTATGAGAGCTCCCTATAGAGCTCTGCAGTTAGATTCTGAGCAATTTTTTCAGCCAACTTCTCAAGATCAACACTGGCTAATAATGGGTCCTGATCTCCAATACAGTTGGGTGGGCAGGGTGACACAGCACAAAAACATGGTTGCCAAGACCCAACCCTGTGGTGGGGAGAATAGTTCTCAGAGGACGAGTGACATGGTCATGGGCTGGAAATAGGGTCACCAATTGCCGCAGCTTTAGCACTGGAAGTACTGCATCCTGGGGAACCCCTCAGTCCACGCCAACTGGGATGGTTGGTCACCCTAGTTAGGAAGGCACGCAGAAAAGTCTGATAGAGCAGCCTCGTGATACCAACAAACTCATTTTCTCTGGATTTCCTTTTTCTAGACTTCTAGGTAGAACACCTGTCTTCTTTTATGACTTTGCCCCAACTCAATGGATTATATCTTCCTTAAATTACATTTTTTTCCTTCCTTAAATTTTTTTTCTGATTTTCCCTACATGAGTTGTAAGCTTCATAAGAGCAGACAACTGTCTTTTTATTAATTTATCCCCAACATTCACTCACAACACTCCAGCAAATAGCACATTAAGTACTCAAAATAATTGTTGAATGAATAAATATGCCCTGTATCTCTTATAGCATAGTTGAGGTGAGGCTCAAACTTTTAAGTAAAAATTTACTAAATACTTGTAAAATAAATACAGCGAGTACCATGAAATTAAACACTCCGACTTAGATAGTTCATTCATCTTCAACCGGAAGCCTCTGACAGAAGG